GTTTCCCTATTGAATTTAATAGGGCCTTTGGCTCATAAACACATTAAACAAAGAAACAATAGATCCCTAGGGGAATTTTAAAATCTGAAGTGTAGGAACTTTAATAATATTATGAAGAACTAATATGTCTGATGTGGAAACTTAAATCTTAGGCAAGAATTTTGAAAAGAATGTTCGAAGTGAAGATTTAATTACATGATTTATTGTTAATCATTTATTATTATATATATGGTGCCAGGGGCATTCCTGGTGCTTTACAGATGATTACAGAATAGCAATTCTCAGATCAAAGGTCCTGATCATGCAATCTTTATTCATGTAAATATTGCCCATGGTGCCTGATCTTATTCCACATTAAAACTCAATAATTCCCCCCTCAAAACACCCCCATCATAAACAATTAAAAGAACTTCAGCAAGCAAACACTCATAAATTATCCTCCCCAGAACACTGAATGTTTTGGTGCCATATATTGTATGGATAGAAGATATCTATTGTGTTTTAGCAAAACTCACATTTTTCTGCAGCTTTAATTCTTAATTATGGTGTCAGCAAACATTAAGATTATTTTCATGATAGCGGTAGCTTATTTCTGGAACAAAAAACATCCAGTTGCTTGGCCCCGTGTGTTTCAGACACTGTTGATTTAATGGAGCCAATTTACTTGCATTAATTGTTCCCTCATTGACCAGTATGGAAAGTTTCACCTTCAGAGGCAGATGCTGAATGTGAAATGCCCCTGTGAGCTATGAAGATGCTGAAATCTCTGTTTGCAGAAGGTTCTGCTTTTCTTTCTTTCTTCCTGTGACAGTTTGCACTCTACGGGAAATGCCACCAATCAGCAGTGCACTTAAATGATTTTCTTATTCTTCAGCTGAAATGGCTGCTGTTTATCTACTAGGTTGCTGTAGGCAGCCGCAGAAGTGAACACAGCTTGTGCAGCAGTCTTTTGGCTTATGTCTTTGAGACATAACAGCTCTGGTGGAGAGAGATTGAAGCGATTGTGCACAGAAGGCAAAGGAAGTATTTTTCCCTCCATCTGTTGCAGGATTTAATATAGCTTTTTGCAGCATGTTGGCCTGTTCCTCTAAAAGCAGTGGCATGTAGCACACAGAAAGGTATTCTAGTTAGCGATGGGTGATGGTCTGCATACCGAAGATTCCAGTGGAGTGATCAGGATTCAGATTCCTATCTGAGTATCATCGGTCTAGACAGTGGGTAGGGAATATTGCTAAGGAGGCACTTTGGATGATACCCAACACTGAAAACACCCTCTTTATTTCTTTCAAGGTTGTGTTTAATCATTAAGATTTACACGGCCTAAGGTGTGATATAATTCCTCAGGATGTTAATGAAGTCGTACTCTGCAGGAATGGGCATTGCTCTGGCCAGTAGTAGCATTGCACTGACCAATTTTGTGTTCACAGCTAATAACAGGGAAGCGCTTTTTCATGCAACTCCTAATTACCTTTAGAAACTTACTGCCATGAGATAGCATTGAGGTCAAAAGTCTAGGTAGGTTAAAAATGGGATTAAGGCAATTTATGGAGGGTAGGTCAATTGGTGACTCTTAAACACAATAGTTCTGGTGTGATCTCCCCGTCCTAAATTGTTAGTTGCTGGAGAGTAGGAGGATGTCCCTGGGGAAGAATTGCTTTACATACACACCCTATTTCTTATGCTCTTACCTGACTGTAGAAAACAATGCACTGGGCTAAAGGCAGCTGTCAGCTGGCTCAGCATGATTTTTTTTACATTCTTACGTGTTCCAGGTTCTTGGAAACTTGTGATTTCAGACCCTAATAGCACTATTAATCCTCTTTATATTATATTCATAGCCACACAACCCTTCTCAAACACCCTAGCTCCTGTCTCCACATGCCTTGGGTTGAATTCTCCAGAAGGGCTGGTCTGTAGGTGCTACCAATTCCACACAAAATTCAGGTTCCCCCAAATCTATGACAAATCTCCAGAGGGACAGGAGATTCACTGCTGTCATGGATCCTCCAGAGGCTGCTCAGATTCAGCACCAAAGAAAAGTTATCTCACCAACCTTCCCAGCTGTCTGCTAGGTCTCTCCTAAGTCCTTTGGCAGCAGGCAGTTTTGAGGTATAAAGCTGAAGTATGGCTATGAAGTGATTTACAGTGAGGTACAATGGAAGGAATTGTGAACTGGAATTAGGATTATCTAGACACAGAATGTGAAGTTTCTGGCCAAACAATATAATATCACTTTTGGAAGACTTCTAAACCATATAATATTGTATTAAGGATCAGCTTGATGGTCATAGGCAGGTTTGGCTGTGAACAGCAGAAGAGATATTTCTGTCTTCCCCCTTCTCTTGAGATGTTACAGTTCCTAGTCTAATGCATTAGCAAAATCTGCAGCTAATTTCAGTTCACATGAATAAAACAAGCTGTATTGTGTGATATCTGAATAGGGCTGCACATACCACTCAGTCCTGCCTGTTGTGGGACCAGTGAACTCTGGCACAAAAATGGGGTAAACAGATGGGAATGATAATAGCTGCAGCTCCCACAGCTACAAGCACCTCTGATCATAAGCCAAAGACCTTCTGGTTGAAAATAATTTGGGAGTGGGACAGGCTCATCCCATAGGTTGGATGCAGTCTGTAGGCTGTCACTTTCTCTGATCTAGACATCCGTAGTATTCAGGTCTAGCCGGAAGGCCCCTAAACATGCTAATTTTCGTTAATTATTCTTGTTCATATTCTGGTAGTGCTTAGAAGCCCTAGCTGAGATTGGGACTCCATTGTGGTAGGTGCGGTGCTAACATACACACCGTGTTCCCTTCTCAATCTGTCTTGAGTTCAGCAAGGAGTATCGAAAGGAAAATGGAAGTTAAAGGTAAGGGGTTACTGATTTGGGTTGTTGTAGCTCCACTGAACACAGTGGATGTCGTCAGGTTGAGGTTTTTCCCAAAGATTTGTTTTCCTGGAGACTGAAAGCATTCTCCTCTCTTTTTGAAACAGCTCCAGATGCACTTTTTTATCTGCAATGCTATGCATGGATATAAAGCCTCACAACAGAGCCAGAAACTAGATAAGTGATCCTGGCTTGACTGGAACCTGTCTTCAACAGTATGTAGAAAGAGAAATGGGGTGCATTTTATTCAGAGCTATGTTTTCTAAGTTTTCTATAAATGAATGTTTAAAAACAAGTGACCTCCTGGAGGCCTCAGGATTCAAAGAGTAACTCAGAAGTGTCCTACAGGGTAGTGTGACCCACAAAATATCTATTACTCATTCCTCTCTAACTCTGAAACTGCAGTGCCTTTGTGTGTGTCTCTTTCTTGTGTTTCCTCTTTTTTCACCTCTTAACTTGAAGGCAGTAACAGGACCTGTGGCTTTGCTCCATGCATGTCACTGCCTGCAAGAAGAGCATGCAAATGAATAATAGTATTTCTTCCTTGAAATTCTTTCCTTGAAGTGAAATTAATGAAGATCTTTGCTGGGAAATCCAATAATTCAGTTTTGTGGAGAAACAAAGGACGGATTTAGACTTTGATTGGTCCCTTTTGCAGTTGTTTCTAAAGTAATGGTGGAGCAAAGATGGTCCTTAGAAAGCCTCAAGGAAAAGGAGTTTTTGCACACTTAAATTTTGCTCTTCCAGCAACTGATTAGAAGCCAGTAAAGCTAAAGACAGGACAGCACTGTGATCAAAATGTGAAAAAGGTCATAATAAGAATACCTTTCTAGCCTTGGATGCTGAAAGGGTCATCAATACCAATTTTTGCACCAAGAACTGGGAGCTTTGGGACAGGACTTTGTGAAGGCCCTCAGCTGAAAGAACAAAATCCGTTCACCACTGAGCAAGCTGCTGTGCTGCTTCTTCAAGGGTGGGAGGTCAACACACACACAGGCTCTAGAACAGCACAGGAGGTGCGTGGTAAAATGACGTGCTTATTCGATCTCATCATTAAGCAGTGTTCACCAGATCTTGGTGGTGTTATCATCAGACAAGTATTCTCTTGTAAAATTGATACCTCCCCGACTACTACTTAATAGTAACGTAATAGCTGTGTTGAAGTCATGGTGGTCTAAGGATAGAATGGAAGCTAGGCACTCAGAGAGAGATGATATCTTTTATTAGGTATTTGAATGCACATTCTGCCTTCCCTGAGAGACCTTAAAAGAGTCTAGTGGACAACTTTATAGCATAAGCTGATGAGTGAAAAGGATGTTTTCTCACCCTTAAACTTCTTCTCTTTGGGCGGGGTTCAATAATGATAAAGTAATGTAAAGAAGCTTGCACTGTTGTGTTCTGCAGTGTGTTTGCTGGGTGAATAAACAAAGGACTTCAATCTCCAGCACTGTTCCTGCTCCGGTGACTGCTTTGTAAATGCTGATGGATGGATCAGGGGAGGATATAAAGATAAAAGTCTGACACAGTCTTGCCAGAACTGAATTCATGTATGGATCGAAAGTGAAGTGTAACTACCACCCAGATCAAATTCTTTCAAGAGCCAGAGCTGTCTAGACCAACAGCAGATATTTATTTTTAGGGTTGATATTTGTGGGTTTTATTAGCAATGCTGCTTTCCCTGGGGTAAAAGCAGGGGAGAGAAGAACACCAAATCGTCTTGAGCTTCTATTGTTAAAGCAAGCTTTATTTTTTGTGGGGTTCCTGAAATATTCTGAAATATTCTCTGCTTTAAAATGCCTTGAGGAATCAGTGTAATAAAACTGGCATTTGAAAACCAAATGAGGTATTTAGAGAAAAGGGACTCTGTAACTTAGATAAAGAGTATCATAATGAAGTGTTTTTTTCTTGTTTTACTTCCGTTGAGACAGTTCTGGGCAGTTAATTTTACCACTAGTCGTGATGTGTAGATAATGAGGTTTGCAGGTTAGCTCAAATGTAGATATGGATCTGTTAACTACAGCAACACAGAAGGCAGATTTTGGGTCCATTCTACTAACAGGTACCCCTTTTTTAGCAAATTGGGTAGCCACTGCTATGCTCTAATGTGCCTTACTTCTGTATTTGGGTTTGCACTCATGAAACACCTGCAGACAAACCTTTCAGGTGTAGGAAGCACTGACTTCTTCATTACGTTCAGCTGGGTTGTGGGCAATGAGCAGGAGGTGTGTCATGAGGTTTTCCAAGCAGCTTACTCAAACTGGAAAGCAGAAGAGATGAACTTGGATGTTTTGTCAGACGACTCTTCTCAAGGACATGGAGTGGGATCCTCACAACGTGATTTCACCACGGGAGAGTGGGTGCTAATACTCCTCTTTGCCAGTAAGGCCTTCTTAGACTTCCAAAATGTTCTAAAGGTCTCACAGAACACAATCTCTACACAAAATCAGGTTTTTATTTCTGCAGCATTTTGTCTGAGCAGCACCATTCTGGCCAGCAAAGCTCAGTAACTGCCTATTCATGATGTAGGAACATCCCGGCGCTGGAAATCATTTGTGTTGCATCGCTGACCTCCAGCAGTTGCTCTGAAAAACTTTCCATCCAAAGCAGAGGTAAATGTGTCTCTAATACCCTCTTCAAAGTGAGTTTGTTGGGAGTTTGTGAATCAAAAAAGAGCAAGCAGCATGGAATTCCTGTTTGGCATCTGAGGCGGCTTATAAGTGGAAGAAGCAAGTTCATTTTTAGTTACAGGTGGGTGGTTGCTTTTCCCCCTCGTGCCAGCGACTTAGCACTACAGCTCCCTGGTGCTGCAAAATACCAACCAGCACAACCTTCCCTGCTCTCCAGACGTGCCTCCACTAGATGACAGTGTTGTACAAAGCTAGACTGAGAAGGCTCGTGCCCAGTCCTGCAGCCCTGGGTGCTTCGCTCATGATACTGGGAGCACAAACAGGTCTGTCTCCTGTATGAAATAGGTGCTTGGTGGATCGGCTGTCTAACTGCACAGGGAGATGCTGTGAATGAGAAGACACCGAGAAGTGCTGTGAATGTGTCAGCTGGTTGTTCTGGGATTACAAACAGGATTCAGGATTCCCACATGTCAATGGAAATGTCTACATGGGGAGGACGGAGTTTCAACTTTGCTGTGATACCTGTAGCAGCAGTTCCGAGTGTACAGCTTGGAACAGCAGACTTCTCTGATTTCCCCCCATATATATATATCTATGCTATAGATATATATATACACACACATAATTATCATTGCTTACAGGTAGCTCAAAGACTGGAATGAAGTCTGTTGTTTTGAAAACACAGAAGTTTTCCTCCTGGGAGCATGAATTAGAATATTAAGCGGATGTGGCACCCCAGGTATTAGGGAGGAGTATTGCCCATGTTCTCACGTGGGGAATGGGATCCAGTGGCCAAGACTGGAATATTGGCTGCTAGTCCAGTGAGGAGAAAAACAGATTAGAATTTATTTTGCATTTTTTTTTCCCCCAGTTATGTCAATTCCCTTTTCCTTTGACATGCTGTTTCTCTCGTTTCTGGACAGATAGTGGAGATTTCATATAGCAGCGAACAAAACAAATCAAGTTGATTGGGAGCTTCTACCTTCTGTCTCAGGGCTTAAGAACAAACATACGGATAATTTTCTGAAAGTCAACAAGTTTGTAGTGGATAAAAGAAAATACTTTCAGCCCCCCTAAAACAAAGGTCTTAATTACATGTATACTGTGTGGAAAATGTTGCAGAGGATATTCCGTGTTGCCAGGCTTGTTTCAAGACATTTGGGATAAATTACTCTATAAAAGAAAATTTTACAGCTGCTTTACGTTTTGTTTAAGCTTTTAAGAGTAAAGACTTTGTAAAAGCTGTCTTCCTGGAGCATACATGTGTGGAATGATGTGATTCTGTCTGACCCAAGTATTTTCTTCCCACCTCATGCCTGTTCTGTTGTTTGTATATTTGGAAGCTTAAGTACAGAGAGCCTGGATGACAACACAAACATAAATGCTTTGGCTGTGGTATGGGAAATGGCACCTGGTCCATTGATTGTCTGTGGCTTTGCAGAGTGCAGCTGAAGCATATATCAGGGTGATGCTGCTGCAGTCTGCAGTAACAGGTGCAGTGTATGGTTTGTGTGCCTTGGAAAGGGACCCTTCCACCTGCACTGTCACATTTCCCTCCTCTTTAAGTCTTTTCCCATGTTCCCTATGGGCAGTTGGATGGTGGTTCAATGCAGTTTCCTGATGTGTTGATCAACACAAAGCCCAGAAAACACTTGTGGTATTCCTGTGCCATTCTCTGTGGCACAGCCATTCCCACTGCTTTTTATGGGGTTTCCTCCTGTGCTCCATCCTGGCCCTGTAAGGATGTCCCCTCCTCCTGATGTACCTCTTCTGTCCTACCCCATGGCTGTAGCTTCACAGGGAAAAAACACATTCTGTCCTGTACCACCCAGATTGCTTGGAAGACCTATACTTACCTCACACTTTTTATTTTTTTTTATGTTGCTAAATAAAGCCCTCAGTACTTACCAAGAATAAGTAGAATTTAATGGCAGGATTAGTACTGCAATGTTTATAAAGGTCAAGATAAGGAAGAGGTCCACAGCAGCACCCTCCCAACTTCAGGAGAACAAAATCACAGCAGAGAAGGTGCTAAAGCAGAACTGAGGCTTGGTTAGCCCTGAAATTCAAGGACATCTGGATCCAGATAAAAAGCTGTGGTCAGCTTTCTTCTCTAATATGAACTGAATTCAAACACCCTTGGACTTTGTGTTGAGCCAGTTCTGGAACCCATCCCCCTCTCTAATCTCTATTGATCTATGCCCCTTTTTGTGTGTAGCTAAATTAAGAGAATTTGGCGTTCTAACAAAGTGGCTAAGCCAAACACTCAAAACTTGAGAAATGCAAGAATTTAAGTTGTTGCTGCAAATTCATTATAGCCTTTGGGTGTATGCATTATGGCATTGTCTTTAATCGCAGGCTCACATACTATAAATGTATGCTCTGTTTAAAGTGCAGGACGGATACTGTTCACTTAGTGAACAACTATTAAATATTTTCTTTTATCTTCATTGTTCAGTGTGTACCCCATGGCTTATTTGCTGCACACTATTCAAAGCCTTTTCTCAATATAGAATTATTAACTTCCTTGGGAGCTTTCCTTCAGCAGTCATCGTTATTGTATCTGGGTGCTTCACAGACATGAAATAACCTATTTTCACAATGCCTCAATGAAGTGAGGGGATACTGCACCCCCACTTGCACAGATGGCAGGCGGAGATATGAAGATGAAGTGAAAACATTGCCAAAGATTTTTGACTGTCTGGGACTTGATTTTTTTTTTTTTTTTTTTGAGTTCACAGCACTGCAAAACATTTTCTATATTCAGAGCATAGGTCCTACCAGTTTCAGTTCTAGCTGTAAGTGCTCAGCAGTTTTGCAGATCAGACTCTAGGGTCTCCTGTTGGGTCCCTAAGAGGATGACTAACAAGCTGCAAAAATGTGGATTAATCAATTTGCTTGGCAACACACACAAACACTGTGCTGGAGGCTAGGGTAGCGACCAGTTCTGCAGGAGCAGCTTTCATCCGTCTTGAACAGAGACCTAGACTTAGTAGCACCCAAAGAAGAGACTTGATTCCTTTGCTCACAGCTGAATCCTCAAGCCCCTTTCTGCAGCTGAACCCTGGAAATGAACCATCTGTCACCCTTGCACAGACTCTTTCACAGAGTCTAGCTTCGCCCTCTGGAAGCTCACTCTAGTGAGAAGGGTTTCTCCAGAAAGTGGTTCAAATCAGTAGCTTAGTTCAGTTAACCTGACCAGCAAGCCAGTGCAGCAAGTCCTTCCTTCACTAACTGTGGAGGGACCTGAAGAGGAATATCCTCACTAGGCCCAAGTTACTCGGTGTAAATGACCTACCTGGGTTTCCAGCACTGCTATCTGCTCTGAAGCTCCACTCAGTGCATTGCTGGCCTCTCAGTCCCAACAGCTGTGTCTTCTCCCCCTTCCCTTTATCCCCAGTTCCTACACCAAAACAGCCCTGTGCTCCCTTTTTGCCCATCCTGCAGTCCTCACCTCACCAAACTCTCTTTCAGACAGTTTCTTTCTCTTCCTAGTAGGCTTGTGCTTTTTACCTTCTGCATGTAGACAGTTTAACTATTGGTACTACCAGCTTGGTAGCAAGGTGGGTATTAAAAGCTCAGGGCAGTCCTGGTCCTTCCCCTGCCTTTTAATGTTGGGATGTATCTCAAAGGGATGGGAGTAAGAGTGCACAGAATAAAAAACAGACAAATAAACAACCCCCCCAAAACAAAACACAAACACAACAACTCCAACAACATAGTCTTGAATGCTGCATGCTCAGCTTAGAGGTAAAATTTCCTTGTTGCACCCACCCGTTCCCATGTAGATACTGCCAGGGAATAGAGATCTGCAGTGAAAATGGATTTTTTTCCCCCTTCAAGAAATGCTGTTTAAAGTTTTTGAAACACAGTTTCTGAGTTTCACAGGAACAACACAGGACACACTCACAATGAAAACTCTCTTTTTCAGGATCTTTTGGGAAGTGTTGAGATTTCCAGATTTTGTTTTAAACATAGCCAAAGCAATGTATTTTTCTCCAGTTTCATTCTTGGAAAAGGCAGAGTGTTTTGGCTAAAATTTCCCTTAAAGTAAATAAATCAGCCAACGAGAGGCACTCAGCATGGAAAATTTCAGCCTGGATAGCTAAAGGTTGGCAATGTTTTCAGCAATTGAAAAGAGGATTTTATAATGAATGGGAAGTGTCAAGCAACCTTTGTAATAATTGATGCTACCAGCCCCTGCTTATAATAAGTACAATTATCAAATGTTTCAGTAAAATCATCTCTGTCCCAGAAAGAAGCTCCATATTAGTGCCAAATCCTTCAGGCTTAATACCTTTGTTACTAAATGAAGCCTCCATTGCCAACTCCTAAGTACTTAGAAAGGAATGTTCTACTTAATTCCCATTCATAGCTGTAATTCATGACTAGTCTGAACTTTCCGTGCACCTGTAAAGGCGCTGTTTGTGTGTGTTGTACTGCTGGCAACGGCGACCGTTGTAAAAGGTACAGAATAGATGCCACAACGAAAACGTTTTCCTAAGATAATAGGAATATTAGTCAATTAAAGCAATCCAATCTAGATCCAAATCAGTGGAGATGGTAGGAAGATGAGGTAAGTGGCACTGCCGCTACCTGCGTGGTGTTCTCCAAACAGCAAATGTCACTCTCCAGTCTTCAGTAACCCTAATCTGATGGGGAGAACACCAGCAGTGGCAATGAACATGGGGTATCGGTGGGTAAAGGTTACTGAAAGCTGAGCCTATCTTCCTTTTGAGGGTGTGTGTGTATATGTGTAGGCGATGAGTTCTGAGATTGGTTTTCAGATATAATTCGGAGAGCAACTGCAAGGAAAACAAATTAGAGTGAGGAGCTGTATTCAGGTAAAACGCAGCTATCTCTTGAAAGGGAGACATCAAAATGGGGTCTTCTCTCCCAGCTGATTTCTGGGCAGAGTCACAATTACGGGCTTGGTAAAAGCAAACACATTTTTTTCTGCTCTTTGCCCTGTTCTTTCTTTAAAAACCAAAGCAGCATATAGAGAATTGGACAGAATTCCTCCTTTAGGATGCTTCTTATTAAGTTGTGATCGGTTCCACCGAGGTACCAGGAGGATTTATTTCAAGGAGTTGGAACTGGATGACTGGCTTTGAAAGCCTGCTTTTGCCTGCAGAGTCTCTGCGGATGCTGGGAACAAAGAGACCTAGTCAGAGTCCAAAAGTTGCACAGTAGATTTGCAGAGGGAATTAAAAAGTTATTTGTCCAGCATTTATTTTTTAATCTTGCTTTTAGAAAAAAGAAATTAAGCGCAGTAAGGAACAGCTTACAAGAGAAACTCTGCCTCATTCATAGGTGTGATGCAGACCGTGTATCTTGACACCTCATCAGATCTTTAACTTAATTGCATTTCTGCAACTTGTGGCAACGTGCCGGATTGCTTATATCCCATCAGCTTCCAGCACTGAATATAGCAAGTAAATATGTAGGAAAAGTCAGCTGATGAGGCTAAAGAAAGACAAAACAGAGACAGAACACTGCTGTCCTATGTTAAATTTAGGGGAAAAAATGTGGCAACAATCTAAGATTTAGAAATTTGCCACTTCACAGGTTTATTATTTTTATGGACTGGGTGTCCCCTCCAGTCGCTCTGCTTTGTCCAGCAATCGATCCTGCAGGCCACACAAACTCGCAGCATTAATAGCTCTCTGGGCACCCAAGCACCCCAGTTTTTCAACATCTTCTTTCTTTGATCTGTATTTGTCTAAGAAAACCCTTATAGTTCTGATGAAAGGCTGATTTTTTGACTAGAAGATACTCTCCTTAAAACAGAACTATCAAATTTCCAACAGTGACCTGAACAAATATCCAAACCACTTCTAATGAATCAATCCCAATGATTTGTTTCAGTGCATTTCCATTTGCTACCTTCAAAATTCATAACCCTATGAGAGTCCCCATAGAAGTGGAACTTTTAGTCTATATAAGGCTGATTACGATCAGCCTAGTTTTATGTCTTCCCATAATGCTTTCCTCTATCAATAGTTTAAGAAATGTACCTATTGATTTTAGTTACCAGGACACTTCTTTTTCTTTTTCTGAAAACAGATGCTGTTAAGTTTTGCTTCAAGCTTGTTATAAGTAACTGTAGATTCAAGTAACTTCTTCAGATTTAAGGGAGGGTCCTACTCCTCTGTAGACTCAGAACTGAAATTCAGAACATATTTGGAATTGATTTTTATCTGACCAGACCAAAATTTAGGGAAGTTTTAGGTCTGGATATGAATTAATGATTCATATAAGATTTCTAAAATTATCATTAACCAAAGGACTGAGCGATACACCTGCTGTTTTTCTCTGTGACTATCGTTTTGTTTTTTTTCTTTCTTTCTCTCTCTCTCTTTATTTTATTTTATTTATTTATTTAAGGTGGTAGAAGTGGGCAGCAGAGGCCCTGAGCAGGAGAATGATTTCAGGCACCAAGTGCAGTATTCTACTAAATCACCATCTGTTTTCTTCACCGTTTGCCAGCAGTTGGCAGAAATATTTCACATAAATGTTGCTTTAAACTGTTTTAAACTCCAGGAGTGGTGACTTTGTTGTCTCTGCCTACCAATTTCATGTGATCTTAACAAAATATTGACTTCAAACACAATCTTTGTCCCTGAGTTGTACTCCCATGACATTTTGTCCATGACTCCTGCATTGTAAGTATGCTGTCTCAGAGCACTGGATCCAGCCCCTTCTTATCATGATAACAATGATAACTATTTAGTTCTAGGGAAATACTAGCTTAAAAATCAGTGTAATTTGCAGTACTTCGTAAGCCAAATAAGAGTCAAGAATGTCCCTCTGTAAAAATATTTAAAACATGCCACTTCAGATAGGTTGTCATGTTCCCGTTTAAAAGATTCCTTTTATCCTGCAGAGATCATACCTGGAATGACCACTTTTCACTCACTGATCTTCAAACACTTCATAAAGGAGGGAAAGATGGAGAGGTTCCTGACCCTTCATTTAATGCCCTTTCAATTTGACTATGCTGGCTGCCACTTAGCTTGCTAATAAAAAAGTCCAAGCACTACATTTTGTGCTAGAGGAGATTACATCTCCTTTTCATTGGTACAAAGCATTCAGGGCCAATTCTATTCTCCCCGAGTACAATGGTAACACTCCCAATGAGGGGCAATCAGTCCTGGGAGTCATTTACTTCACCAAATATCTCTTCAAATTGCTCTCTCATGTCTCCAAATATATCCCTCAGTTTCATCACGCTGTTTCATCTGTCGCCTCAGTACACAGGCTCCTGCAGGGGTAGTACCAGTTCCCTTCAGATACTTGTAATCCTGCTGCAGCACTGTGCAAACTGTGCTGTTTTTTTCCTCTTTCAGTAAGGGAAATGCATTTACAAGGTATGTTCTGTAGTCGTATCGACC